TCTGTTTCTGGTGAATCCTCTCACCCTCCGCATCTCCGGTCTGTACCACAGTAATATATGAGGAAATAAATAAATCTTAAAAAAAAAAAAAAGCCTCTACTAAATAAAAATTTCAGGACCAAAATGACTTCACTGTTGAATTATACCTATCATTTAAAGAGTATTAGCACTAAACACTTTTTAAAAAATCATTTTATTATGCCATTATACAAAGCAAGACGGAGAAACTACAGGGAAAAGGAAACCACATCAATATCTTTTTTGTCTATTAATATGTAAAACCCCCTGAAAATACTAGCAAGGTAAATTCAGCAATGTATTAAAATATGTTTTATCTCAGGAATGCAAGGGTAGTTCTAAATATAAGATATGTTGTATTCATCACATTAATAGAATAAAAGGGGAAAATTACATGAACACATTAATAAAAAATGCTTAGCAAATAAGGAGTGAGATCATCATCTTCTTGATAATAGGCACTTATGGAAAAATCTATAGCTAAGGTCATACCCAATGAAAAAAGCATGAAGCCTTTTCCCCAAAATCAAAAATAAACAAGGGTGTCCACTTGTACCACTTTTACACAGTATATTACTCAAAGTTTTTAACCAGAGAGGTTTTAAGTCAAGAAAAGGAAATAAAAGGCATCCAATTTGTAAATTGAAAGTAAGACTATCTCTGTTTGCAGATATTATCTTATATAACAAATACACACTAAAACTGGTAGATATAATGAATGAATTTAGCAATTGGCAACATTCAAAGTTGACACATTTAAATTGCAAGTGTAAAAATCAAATACAACTAATTATATTCTAATAATAAACAACCAAAAATAAAATGAAGAGAACAACTGCAGTTACAAAAGCATCCCAAAGAATAAAATACATAGTAATAATTTAATTACAAGGTAGTTAAGTAGAAAGATAGTGTACTGTCGTACTTTGAGAAATAATAAACTTTAGTGAAAAATAGTTGAGAAAACTTAAAAAATGGAAAGATTAATATTTGTTGATGGAAGGATTTAATATTATTAAAGAAGGTAAAGCAGTATTAAGTCCCCACTTATTGTCATTAATAGAATAGTTTCAGAGAAACTGCATACAGTGAAATCAATTGTACCACAAGCTAATTGTCATAAACTAGTGCAACTTCCTGACCCATACTTCTAATCACAAAACCATAAGCAGACTTTCTAAATAACTCTTGTACTTCTAGTTTTAAAGAGTAGTTTGTATTTATTCATTCATTTTCCAACCTGCTTAGTCAGTTCAATGTATTCAAACAAGAACCAACTCTGAAGAGGAGCCCTTCCTTTGTAGGGTACACTTGGAACACTCATCAGTATTCACTCAGACTGGTACAACTGAGGGATGCCATTTTACCTGACATACATATTTGAGGAAATCAGAGTACCCAAAGAAAACCCATGCTGACATGGGGAAAATTGGTAAATTCCATACACAGTGGTCCAAATTGAGAATTGATTTTTTTCTCATCAGTTTTATAGCAAAATGACCATGAGCTCTAATGACATTATTTAAGACCCTGGTAACCCCCCCCCCCACATACACACAATATACAGATTTTTAGTGATGTCCCTATCAAAATTCTAATCAGCATTTTCTGTGGAAAATTTCAAGGAAAATCAGAATAGTCAAAACAGTGTAGAAAAAGAATAGGGCCCTCCCTGGTGGCGCAGTGGGTTAAAGACCACTGAACAAGGAATTACTTTTTCTTTCAACAAATAGTGCTAGTACAACTGGATATCCATATACCAAAAAATGACATTGGACCCATGCCTTACACCATATAGAAAAGCTAACAATGGATTAGCAATCTAAACACCCTAACTAGCTATAAACACTTAGAAGAAAATATAGGGATAGATGCAGTCTCCTTTGAGTTTGGCAATAAATATTTATAAATGACATCAAAAGCTTGAGAAAGAAAGTATAAATAATATCTGATCAAGGTCTTAAAGCATAACATAAAAAGAACTCTTAAAATCCAATCGCAGAAAGACAGCCCATTTGAGAAGTGGGTAAAGAACTTGAAGAGCCATTTTTCCAAATAAGATACAGAGAGGAACATCAGGTCTATGAAAAGATGCTGAATATCACTAACCATTAAGAAATGCAAATTAAAACCACAAACAAAATACCTTTTCATACTCATGAGGATGGTTATAATTAAATAGACAAAATTAACAAGTCTTCACAAAGATATGAAGAAAAGACAACCCTCATATATTGCTGCTATGTGAAATGGTTCAGCCACAGTGGAAAGCAGTTTGATAATACAAAAGTTAAATATAAAATTAGCATATAGGGTCTTCCTGGTGGTACAAGGGAGTAAATATCAGCACTGTGAAGCAATCTGCAGCCACTACAGCAAGAATTCAATCCACAGCCAGAGAGGTGATCTACATGGCACAGTAGACCTCTCTTGTTTCCCCTCAGCAGTGTATTTCAGTCTGTTTGCCTGTTCTGCTCCCTACTGTCTCTGGCGAATCCTTTACCCCTTGCCCAACCCTTTGGCCTTTACCCAAGTTCTTGAATGCATAAATGGAATAAAGCTTTAATAAACTAATTAAAAATAAAAATAAAATAACCAGGTAATCCTGTAATTTCACTCCTAGATCTGCATTACAAACGTTGACAACTGATACTCAGGGACTAATGTTCCTAGTAACACTATTCATAATCCAAACCTGGAAACAATCAAAATGTCTCATCAATGAATGAGTAGATTCAAATTGCAATATATTCACAAAATGGAATGTTTTTGAGCTCTAAAAAAGAATGAAGAACCAATATATGCTACAACATGGACACACACTGAAAACATACTGTAGGAATGTCACATATTATTTGTTTTCATTTATATTTAATATTCAGAATGGGTAAATCCATAAAGACAGAAGGAGGTGGATTAGCATTTGCCAGGGACTGGAGGAAAAGAGAAATGGGAGTAATTGTGTTAAGTATATGGAGTTTCCTTTTGGATGATGAAAAATATTCTGAAGCTAGATAATGATGGTTATATAACACTATATACTAAATGTTACAGGAAACTTTAAAATGGTTCCTTTTATGTGAATTCTACCTCTAACAAAAATTAACTTAGATCATTAAAGAGTGAAAAACTGAAATGGCCCTCCCTGGTGGCGTAGCAGGTTAAGGCACAGCACAAAGAAGCTTAAGCCACTTCCGCATGAGTTCGATCCCCGCCTGCCCCAGAGGTGACCATATGGCGAGGCAGACCTCTCCTGACCCACCCGCTGCTCCCCTCACTCGATCTGCCTGTTCTGTGCCCCCACTTTGTCTCTGGTGAATCCTCTCACCCTCTGCATATCTGGCCTGTACCCCAGTTCTGTACGAATAAATAAATAAATCTTTTTAAAAAAACTGAAATGAAGTTTTCCTTTATTATTAGATTGGAGGCAAAGGCGGGGCTTATGATTTCTGTTACAAAGTTCTACCGACTTTGTGACTGTATTTGAGGTTAATGGTACCTTTCATGATATTTAGTGACAGAAAGGACAGTTTTTAAGAGTATAATGGTGACAGTGAGGGCTATTAAATGTAGGGTAAGAGGATAGTACATGTCTCAGAGTTAATTGAGCTTTTTTCATTGAGTATCTTATGTGTAAAAAGCTCCCTTCTTAGTGGAGATCTTCTCTTTTACTCTTGTCTTTCAAGTCTATGTAAACCATTCATCTTAAATTCCATAAAGTCAAATTCCATCAAATTAACCTCATTTGCTTTATGAAAAGGTCACTGGGTTAGTCTGACAGCTTCAGTTAAGTGAAGCACTTGACAAATCTCATCATAGTATTTTAACTCCCTCTTCTTGTGGGGGATTATAAAATCATATCCTTGATATTCAGATAAAAAAAAACAACTGGTAATTGCATTGGCAGAATCAAAAATGAAAGAGTAAATCATTATTGTAGCTTAACTATAACAAGATGATTTTACTAAAAATAATTGTTAAGTCATGTTCTTGGGACTTAAACTGAACAAGGACATTTGGAAGTACATGAGCTAATAGCAACATATTACTCTTAATAGGGTAATAGGGTGTGATCCCAGTTAACCTCTCCATATGAGCTGTTACTAATGGGTTGTATAAATGTAATGTTGAAAACTTCTTTCACTAATCAGGCCGTATCAGAGGCATTATCTCCCAATGTATTTTGCAAGAAACTTTGACAAACTGAAAATAAATCCAGACGACTATGTCAGGGATGATGAAGACATTCAATACCCCATGCTACGGGACACAGTTGAAGAAAACTGAACTGTAGTCAGAGTGGTAAAAATACTGACACACTTGAGGGCCCTCCCTGGTGGTGCAGCAGGTTAAAGCTTAGTACTAAGAAACTAAAGCCACTTCTGCATGAGTTCGATCCCTGCCTGCCCCGGAGGTGACCACATGGGTGGCAAACCTCTCCTGACCTGCCCGCTGATCCTCTCAGCAGTGTACTTCGTCAGTCTGCCTGTTTGGCTCCCCACTCGGTCTTTGGTGAATCCTCTCACTGCCCATGCACCTCTGGCCTGTACCCTAGTTCTGTATGCACAAATAAATAAATCTTAAAAAAAAAAAATATTGACACACTTGAAACAATGAAAGCTACTTATAAAGAACAGAACTGGCTACTTTGTATGTTTATAAAAATACTTAGGCAGACTGGATGACCACTTTTCAAAAATATTAATGATTAAAGGGTGTAAAGCTACATAATAACTTTAAGTGTCTTTCAATCTTAAGACTGTATAGATCTACATAATTACCAAAAAGGAGAGAACATGAAGATAGGGAAAATGAACTATAGGTTTAAAACAATAGAGCTCAATAATAAGTAGTTATTGAATGTTTCCTTAGTTCACACCATACTTGATGGTATTAACTTTAAAAAAAGTTACTGTTAATAATTAAGTGTTTAGTTTACTGTTAGTGGGAAGATAACTTGTTACCTTGGTCTTATTTTATAGTCTAGTCTTCTGAGACAAGATCTAGGCCTTGGGAGCCCAGCACAGTTATCTTCTTCAGGAAAACCTGGGACACCATACTACTCATTCTCTGCCACAAGTTCCAGAAGAAGACCACTCCATGACTCTGCAGCACTTGGTGAGTATATCTCTTGCAGAACACAAATCCTACCCTACAAAGTTTTCCCTTTTCCCATCTACATTTCTGACTATATTTTAGTTAGTATTTTCTTAGCATTTACTTGCATATTTAGTAAGTGTACTGTTAAAATTCTCACTTTTATAATATGCCATAAGTGTTAAAGGTTAAATAATTTAGGTTGATTGCATTGATGACTTAAAATAACCAATGTCATATAACAAGTGTCACATAATTTCTTCACATAAGTTCATCAATTAACATGAACTTAACAAAAAACTGGATGTTTGGAATGGAACTAGTTTTTCCTCTTACATGTTAATATCATCACCTTATTTTTTGACAAAAATTAATATACTGCAGAACAATTTGCAAAGTGGTTATATGTATATTCTCATTTCATCAATAGAATAAACTTGCTTATCAGTAGCTATTACCCTAGATTTAATATAAAATAGGTTTAAAAAAAGACACATTCATATTATTAGTCGGTAGTTTATCTTAAGATTTTTCTGGCCCCCAAATCCAATGTTCTCTATATATTATTTGCTCCTACTCCACCTTTTAAAAAATCCAAGTCAAATTAACCATGTTAAAAGGATATAATTCTGGGCTCTGGTGCAACGGGTTAAAGCACCACATTATAACCCTCTCCGAAGCCACTGCAGCATGAGTTCGGTCCCCGGCCAGGGAACTGAACCACATGGTGTAGCAGACCTCTCCTGAACCACCCGCTGCTCCCCTCAGCAGTGTATTTTGTCAGTCTGCCTGTTCTGCTCCCCATTTCTGTCTCTGGTGAGTCCTCTCACCTACCATACCTCTGGGCCTGTACCCCAGTTCTGTAAGCATAAATAAATAATCTTTTTTTTTTTTTTAAGAAAAAGTATATAATTCAGTAAGATGTAGTACATTCACAATTCTGTGCAACCATTATCTCTAGTTCCAAACCCTCACCTCAAAATGAAACTTAGTACCTACTAAGCATTCAACCCTCCTTTTTTTTTTTAATTTACTTCTTTTGTATGTTATACATGCCTAACCAGTTCAATTTGTTTTCTCTTACTGCTTATAGCAAGCCTCAGGTATATTCAAATTTGTGTTTAAAAGTGGATACCAAATATGGATACCACAAAATCCTTTATGCAAGAAAATTAAGGTTGCAAAGCATGTTTATATTAAGGATCATCTAGCTTATAAAATAAATTTAGTCCTCTAAATAAAATACATTAGTTATCTTTTCATAAACCTTTGTTGACTCTACAACTCAAGTATCTCTTTTTTCAAATCTGTATTTTGGTAAATATCCCTATATTCTGAGTCTACACTGTGCTTAAGGATATAAAAGGGCACAATGATTGATTATCTAATTCAGCATGGAGATGTACTTACTTCTCAATATTAGGGTGATTTAATATATATACTGTTAGAGTGAGCCCAAATGATTAAAGCAATATGCTGGTTTTACACTGGAATGATTCCTTGTTATTAAAGAGTTAATCATTTATAAAATGTCTTTTTTTCTCTCCATGTCTACTTTTTTATCCCACAAAATGAGTTAGAGTTGGAACATTCATTTGAGTCTAGATGATGCATTATCAACTGTAAAAAAAATCTTGCTACTATGCTATGAGAGTACATACAAAAAGCACTAATATAAAGCAATGAACTGTTACTACAAAGTTAGAGAGAAAAAGAACTATTGAAATACATAGGAAAGTGGAGTGAGACTGGCTTTCATACCACATTTTCCAAAAAGTTTAAGCTGTATCTTCATTTTCATCTTGATCATGATTGACACTATTGTCTCTTCCACATTGGCACAATGTTGTGCATAAGACTACATCTTTTTTTTTTCCTAGTAATATTTATTTATTTATTTATTTTTAATTATTACAAAAGTTTATTTTTACATCATTTTGCACATTTTTTTTTTCCATCTCGATTGTAATCCCCGCGGGTTTCCCATCACCAAATCACCCGTGTGCCACCACCATAGTCCCATGCATTTCCCTCCCTTCCCCATCCCTCCCCCCCGTTTTTGGTCCCATTCCCCACTCCACCCCCACAACATGTCTCTGGTATATGGTTGTTCATTATTTTTGTTATTTTCTCACCTGGTCCATTATACTCCTGCTATGAGTGAAACCATCCGGTATTTTTCTTTCTCTTTCTGGCTTATCTCACTAAGCATGATCTTTTCCAGCTCCATCCAAGTTGCTGCAAAAGATGTGTGTTTCTCTTTTTTGGTTGCTGAGTAATATTCCATTGTATATATGTACCACATCTTTTTTATCCAGTCATCTACTTTTGGGCATTTGGGCTGCTTCCATGTTTTTCCAATTGTAAATAAAGCAGCAATAAACATGGGGGTACAGGTATCTTTTTCAATCAGTGTTTTTGTGTCTTTTGGGTAGATACCTAGGAGTGGGATTGCTGGGTTGTAGGGAAGCTCCATGCTAGCAGTTTGAGGAACCTCCAAACAGTTTTCCATAGTGGTTGTACTAGTTTGCATTCCCACCAGCAGTGTAGGAGAGTTCCTTTTTCTCCACATCCTCGTCAACATTTGTTGTTGCTAGTTGTTTGAAGATGTGCCATTCTCACTGGGGTGAGGTGGTATCTCATTGTGGTTTTAATTTACACCTCCCTTATTTTAAGTGATGTTGAACTTTTTTTCATATGCTCGTTGACCGTCTGCATTTCCTCTTTGGAGAAGTGTCTCTTTAGCTCTTCTACCCATTTTTTGATGGGGTTGTTTATTTTTGTTGAGTTTTATCAGTTCTTTGTATATCTTTTTGATCAATCCTTTATCATTAGTATTGTGTGAGAAATTTTTTTCCCAATCAGTATGATGTCTGTCTGTCTTTTGTAATGTCTCTTTTGCTGTACAGAAGCTCTTTAACTTGATGTAGTCCCGTCTGTTTATCCTTTCCTTCACTATTGTTGCATTGAGTGCTGTATCTTTAAAGATGTCACATATTGTTTTGCCCATCTTTGCTCCCAGGTATTTTATGGTTTCTGTTCTTTAATCCACTTCAAGTTAGTTTTTGTGCGTGGTACGAGGTAGTGATCTAGTTTCATTGTGTTGCATGTAGCATCCCAGTTTTCCCAGCAACATTTGTTGAACAAACTTTCTTTGTTCCATTTTATCTTCTTGCTCCTTTTTCAAAGAGTAGCTGCCCATAAATCTGTGGGTTTATATCTGAGTTTTGTATTCAAATTCACTGGTTTGTATGTCTGTTCTTGTTCCAGTACCATGCAGTTTTGATTATCATGGCTTTTTAGTATAGCTTGAAGCCTGGGATTGTGATGCTTCCATTCTCTTTCTATTTAGTCATGAGAATTTTGGCTATTTGTGGTCTTTTGTGGTTTCATATGAGTCTCATCAATATTTGTTCTATTTCTTTGAAGATTGTCATTGAGACTTTCATTGGATAGTATTAAATCTATATATGGCTTTTGGTAAGATAGCCGTTTTGATGAGATTAATTCACCCGATCCATGATCAGGGGATGTTTTTCTATATCTTTGTGTCTTGTATTTCTTTTAACAGTGTTTTATAGTTTTCTTTGTATAGGTCTTTTACCTCTTTTGTTAGGTTTATTACCAGGTATTTGATTTTTTTTTTTTAAAGATTTATTTATTTATGGATACAGAACTGGGTACCAGCCAGAGGTGCATGGATGGTGAGAGGATTCACCACACACAGAGCGGGCAGATCGACGAAGTACACTGCTGAGTGAAGCAGCGGGCGGGTCAGGAGAGGTCTGCCACACCATGTGGTCACCTACGGGGCAGGTGGGGATCGAACTCATGCGGAAGTGGCTTTAGTTTCTCAGTGCTGTGCTTTAACCCGCTGCGCCACCAGGGAGGGCCCATGATTCTTCTTGTTTTAATTGAAAGGGGGGTGGGTTTTTTTTTTTTTTCTGCTTCTTCTGATTGGCTGTTTGTGTGTAGGAAAACCTCTGACTTTTGTGTGTTGATTTTATATCCTGCTACCTACTAATCTAGTTGATTATTTTGATTAGTTTCTCTATGGAGTTTTTAGGGTTTCCATCTCGATTGTAATCCTCGCGTGTTTCCCATCACCAAATCACCCGTGTGCCACCACCATAGTCCCATGCATTTTCCTCCCCCCCCCACCCCGTTTTTGATCCCATTCCCCACTCCACCACCGCAAAATGTCTCTGGTATATGGTTGTTCATTATTTTTGTTATTTTCTCACCTGGTCCATTATACTCCTGCTATGAGTGAAACCATCCGGTATTTTTCTTTCTCTTTCTGGCTTATCTCACTAAGCATGATCTTTTCCAGCTCCATCCAAGTTGCTGCAAAAAGATATGTGTTTCTCTTTTTTGGTTGCTGAGTAATATTCCATTGTATATATGTACCACCTCTTTTTTATCCAGTCATCTACTTTTGGGCATTTGGGCTGTTTCCATGTTTTTCCAATTGTAAATAAAGCAGCAATAAACATGGGGGTACAGGTATCTTTTTCAATCAGTGTTTTTGTGTCTTTTGGGTAGATACCTAGGAGTGGGATTGCTGGGTCATAGGGAAGCTCCATGTTTAGCAGTTTGAGGAACCTCCAAACAGTTTTCCATAGTGGTTGTACTAGTTTGCATTCCCACCAGCAGTGCGGGAGAGTTCCTTTTTCTCCACATCCTCGCCAACATTTGTTGTTGCTAGTTGTTTGAAGATGTGCCATTCTCACTGGGGTGAGGTGGTATCTCATTGTGGTTTTAATTTGCATCTCCCTTATTAGAGTGATGTTGAACATTTATTCATATGCCTGTTGGCCATCTGCATTTCCTCTCAAAGTATTTTTTAATTTTCTCTTTGATTTCCTCATTAATCCAAGGTCCTCGAGTAGTGTGGGTTCCACCTTCCATGAGTTATGTGGGTTTCTTGCCTTCTTCACATGGTTTATTTCTAGTTTGATTCCTGCATGGTCAGAGAAGATAGTTGGTATGATTTGAATCTTAATGTATCTATTGATAAAATTTGTCTTGTGACCCAGTATGTGGTCAGTCCTAGAGAATGATCCATGTGGATTTGAGAAAAATGTGTACTCAGATTTTGGGGGGTGCAGTGTTCCATAGATGTCTTTTAGACCCATGTTGTCCAGGTCCTTTTTCAGTGCATTAGTGTTCTTGCTTATTTTTTTGTCTTGTTGATCTGTCTATTGTTGAGAGTGGCATATTGAAGTCTCCTACTACTATGTATGTATTTTCGCTAATGTATGTTTTCATAGATGAAAGTAATACCCTGATATATTTTGGTGCTCCTTCATTCGGTGCATATATGTTGATGATTGTTATGTCATCTTGTTGTATTGTCCCCTTAATCATAATGTAGTGGCCTCTTTGTCTCTTTTAACCCTTTTTCGTTTGAAGTCTATTTTGTCTGATATAAGTATAGCTTTTCCTTCCTTTTTTGGTCCATTTGCTGTGGGATTGTTTTCCATCCTTTTATTTTCAATCTGTTTTTATCTTTTGTAGTTAGGTGTGCTTCCTGTAGACATCAGAAGGTTGGATTCTGTTTTTTAATCCGTCTTGCAACTCTGTGTCTTTTTATTGATAAGTTTAAGCCTTTTACATTTAGAGATTATATTGATATACTGATAACCTATAGTTGCCACTTTGTCCTTTTGTGCTTTTATTTCTTGTTTTGAAATGTTATTGTTCATTCTTTTGTTGGATTTGGTTTGAGGACTTCTTGTAATATTTTTTGAAGTGGGGGGTTTAGTCATGACAAAATTGTGGAGTTTCTGTTTGTCTGAGAATGTCCTTATTTTTTCTCGTAGAGGAAGGAGAGCTTTGCAGGATAGAGTATTTTTGGTTCACATCTGATGCTTTGGAGTTTGTTGAGTTTGTCCCTCAACCCTCTCCTTGCCCATAGTGTTTCTTTGGAGAAATACTTTATAGATTATTGGTTTTTTCCCTCTTGACATTCTCATTATCCTTTCCTTGTCTTGTATCCTTGGTAGTTTTACTATGATGTGTCTTGCTGTATTTCTCCTCCTATTGTCATGGTAGTCTGATGTATGTCTACTTTCATCTCCTTCATATTAGGGATGTTCTCTTAAATTATCTCTGTGAATATTTTCTCAATTCCTTGGCCTTTCTCCTCACCTTCTGGGGCACCTAAGGTATCCTAACTTTAAGTGTGTCTTCATTCCTTTTCCTTTTTACTTCTCTTTCTTTTTCTGTTTTGATTCTCTTTATTTCTGTGTCTTTGAGGGTGCTGATTTGGCCTTCCATTTTGACTATTCTGTTTTCATTACTTTTCCCAGCATTCTTTATCTCCTCTAGTGGACTTTTCATCTCCTGCATTTCATTTCCTTTTTTAAGGTCTCATTTTCTTTCTTCAATTTGTTGATTATTTGTCTCATATATCATTTTTTTCTCTTCATTTCCATTCTTAGAGCTTGTCCCATATTATTTTTTCCCTTTTCAACTTCTTTTAGTTTGTTTATAATGATGATTCTAAATTCTTTATCTGGTGGGATGTGCTGTTCTATTTGTTTGATTTCTGGTGACTGATCTTTTTGTGTTGAATTTTTGCTGTGCACTCTCTTGGATGTTTGTGTGTCTTCTTTTCCCTGTGATGTATTTGATAACACTTTCTATTCTTTGAGACACAGTGTTGCTAGTATTGGCTGGCATTTTTTCTGGGTGTTCCTTGTGGGATGGCCGAGCTTCCAGACAGTTCAGTTGTGGAGGATGTTCTGAGCTGTGTTTTGTTTCAATATCTTCTGTTTTTCCAGCCCCTGCTATGTGGAATTGTGTCTGTTGTCTCAGCCAGTAACCGCCAGGGGTCTTTTGTGGTGTTCAGCTTCTTCTGGTAATAAGTTAAGTCCTAGTCTCTGAAAGGTACCTGTAAGAAATGCCTGAATGGGTTGGTTTCCTCTGTTGAATTTCTCTCTGCTTCAAGGCTTGTACCAGAAAATAATGGAATTAAGAAGGAGTAGAGAGTGAGATGGGAGGTTAGGGGAAAGGGGAGGACGATATGAAAATGTAATAGGGAGGAAGTTGATAGGAGGAGGTGAAGGTTAAATGGGGGTAGGAGATGGAGGGAAGGTGTCAGAAGGAGATGAGCCTGCAGAAATAATAAAGGGGAAGGAGAAAGTTAGAGGAGACAGAAAACCAGGGTAAGAATGAAGGAAGGACACAGAAATCTACCAGCTGAGTACTACAGGAACCAACCAAACAAACAAATGACAAACACTACCATAAGTAGGGGAGAATTGCCTCTCTATCTGGTGTCCCCCAGTTAGCTAGTCCTTGTGGTTTTAGGCTGGTCTCCTGGGGAGTACCTTAGGACTAGGTGAAGTAGCCTTCCCAGAATCTGCAATTTTGTTTGGCTTTCTTTTTGTCCCCTGATGTAGTTAGAGTAGTAAAGAAGTTTCTAAGGTTTCTTTCCACCCAGGCTCTCCTGGAATCTAGGGCCCTCCAGTGCAATGGTTGGCCAAAGAAGGGATGCTGTTTAAATAGTGAAGAATTGAGTTCTACAAAAGACTCATAGAGAACAAAAATTTTGTGTGTAAGTTTAAATGGAATGTATCAGATGTTGTTTATCTTTGGCACTTTGTTTTAAGGAAATACAGGTTGTTTCTTGGGGTATAAAATTTTTTTACATGCTTCTTATAAAGTTGTTTTTTTACCTTTTCATCCTCATGAAATATTTACTGTAAAGATTTCCAGTCCTAATGAAATGTTTTCATTCTGTCTTAAAACAATTGCATGTCTTATGTCATGTCATTTATGACTAAGGAAAATACCGTGCTTGCTTAATTCTTTCTTCCACAGTTATAAGATTATTGTATCGTTTTTAAATCAGCTTTCCCATGTGTTCTCTCTTCTTAATATTGAACCCCTCCAAAACATTGTACTATTAATCTGGTATATGTACAAGATGGAAAATTTTGGTGATCAAATTTTTTGCAATAAATAAAATGGGCCAGTTTTAAATTTTAAATGGGTAAAGTTAAAACACCATTTTTTTGCATTTTTAAAAAATAATGATAATTTATTTGTGCATCATTTTTCCATCTCACTTGTAATCCCCATGTGCTTCCCATCACCAAATCACCCATGTGCCATCACCTTAGTCTTGTGCATGTCCCCTCCCCCATTTTTGGTCCCATTTCCCACTCAACCCCCATAAAATGTCTCTGGAATATAGTTGTTCATTATTATTCCTACCCCAACCCCCGCTTTTGCTCCTGCTATGAGTGAAACCATCCAGTATTTTTCTTTTTCTTTCTGGCTTATTTCACTAAGCATGATCCCTTCCAGCTCCATCCAATGAAAACACCAATTTTAAATGAATAAAATTGAAACACCAAGTGAGACTGATTTATAGTTAGACATTTTTTATTTAATTTTTTAAAGATTTATTTAATTATGCATACAGAACTGGGGTACAAGCCAGAGATGCAGGAGCAGTGAAACTCTTCACCAGAGACAGAGTGGGGAGCAAACAGGCAGATGAATGAAGTACACCACTGAGGGGAGCAGGGGGTGGGTCAGGCTCTCCTGCCAGGTTATGTGGATCACCTCCAGGTGGGGGATGGAACTCTCACTGAAGCTGCTGCATCTAGCTTGTAGTGTTGCATCCCAACCTATTGGGCCACCAGAGAGGGCCCTGTACATTATTTTTGTCAGAAAGAAAGAGTCTTTCTACTTATTTCCTGGAAATACATAATGAACATCCAAGGACAAATTGAACACTACTTATTGCAGAAATTACAGTTTTACTCACATATTATTAAAGTAAATATTGTACACGATACTGTGATAGGGGATATGACAATGCCACCCTATAATAGTTTGTATAGTATATCCTTGACATTATTATGTTAAATTTTGTTTATAATAAATTTTTAGCATAAGTTGTAGCATAACATTAGATTTTACTCTTTAAACATGCTTTGTAATTTTCAGTGTTACGGGGACGATAAATTTGTGTCTCTGTTAAGGAGTCATATTATAAAAATAACCTGTTGCACCAAATGCCCTTCTGCAATAAAACTGCAATAAATTATATAAAGTGCTTAATATTGAGCCTGGTACATAATAGGTCCTGAAGAAATGTTAGCTTATTGCCTTGCTGCTTTCTTTCTTATATTATTTGTATGCTGCCATCTTCCCATAGTACATAGGTACTTCAAAATGCACCTTTTTTTTTTTTTTTAGAATACATTGTCCATTGGAATCGTTAGAAAAAAGTGAGGTTCCTGTCCTTATGTTCCCTTTTTTAATTCTAAATATGAAAAATATGATATGGGGGTAAAAATCATTACTGTTCATTTTGTAGTCTGATAGTTTCTATTAGAAATGCTGATGAAATCTGTTTTTCACTTGCAGATCCTTTGCAAGCAAAGAAGGTTAGAAAGGTGCCTCCTGGGTTGCCTTCTTCTGTAAGTACACATATTTTTGACTTTATGGTAAACAAACTGTTTTCAGGTATTTGATTTTGGTGCTGGCAGGCATACCTCACATAGTAACTGCTTGCTTTTTAACAGAATCATTGATTGAGATAGATCCACATTTAATGTTACATTTTTAGATTTCCCTGCAATGATTTGTAGCTTCCGCCTATCTTCTTACTCTATATCCCTGTCATTTGAATTCCCCTCTTGGGAAGAGGACTAGGCCAGTAGCTGTCAAAGAAGATCTCCTGTACAGGTCTTTTGATGTTTAATTAGTCATTATGTTGCTGAACAGGAGGACAGACAGAGATTAATAGCTGAGAATCTTAGAAATTTACATTTGTAATAATCCCGGTGGAGCTAAAGACATTAAGATTCGGAGGACATGTTCAGCTCAGCTTGCCTCAGTAGGACTGAGGTTATTAATATGCATAAATCTCCAAGTCAGATGTTCATTGTGAAGCCCTTGTGGATTTTAAAGCCTTCATTAAGCCTTTCCTAACTTCAGCCTAGCATCAGGAAAGCTTTCAAGCAACTAGTTTGTTGATCCCTCTTTGCTCAAAAATATATCCTTTGAGAATAAGTGCTTTCATGAAGGAGGTTCGAAAGGTTTGGTGAACTGTCATTAATGGTTGTGATAATCAAATACGATAGGAGTGTTTGTGCTAGTAAATATACTTTACTCTTAAAAAGAAATAATTGTATTAGTACATAAACCTATATCATAAATTGACCTGCAATGTAAAGATTGAAGTTTGAGGAAGAATTTTTTTCCCTCTTTGCTTAAATCAAAATGGGGAGTGGGACTTTTGGACAGAGTCCCCAAGCCTTATATAGGGTACATCTCTTTGTTGTGTAAATGGATGCCAAATAAATGGCAGTACTTAACACATGGGCGCAGGTGCTGCTGGATGAGTCACAGCTCATCGAAATATATGCTGAATGGAATATCCGTCTTGGCAAGTAGTAATCTAGAAGGAACAGCATGGTTGAGCTTTTTATTTTCTATTAAGGCTGAAGTAGATATCATCTTTTTGGTTGTTTGCCTTCCTTCTTTCCTATGTTTTTACCCCTCCTCTTTTCTGTGTGATACATGAAAACTGGAATTTAAAATGCTCTTTGAAACTCAGTTCCAGATGGATCTGAGTTTTGTATTGCCTAGGACAGCTGTGCTCTGAACCTGCAGCCTACCTGGAAGGTTGGATTGCAGCTGCAGGCATTCTTAAAAGCTTTTGCTTGCATAAGCACTTGGGCCCACTAGAGGCTGAATAGCTGCTTGATAAACAAAATGAACACAATGCCTCAAATCATTATTCCTGAGGACAGGAATTTTTTTCCTGCAGCAGCTAAAAATAGTTGGGCAATTTACATTTTAACAGTTATGCTTTGTGCAGGGGTAGGTGGTTACACAGTATAACAGATGATTTCTGCTAGATTAACAGAAATAATATTTAAAAATGACAGAAGTGTTAAAGTGTGTAATCATGTAATTTATTGTTGTAATTCTCTGAGTAATATAAGTTTAATTATTTGTTAATTTTTAGTAGAACTACACAGGCAAAAATACCAGAATAATAAATGAAAAATTCATCTAATTTCTTCTTAGCCTGACATTAATTTTAAGAAATAGTTTATTTTTGGTGTCTCATAGGTCTTCCGCATTTAAAACAGATGGACAAAATAGATAGAACAAACTTGACAGTAAATAGACTCTGGACGTTACCAGTGTTCTTCACAATCCTGATCATAGTAGCATTCACTACTTGGAGTGAACTGTTCTGTTGTTTCAAGTGTCCAAAATAGAATCATGGAAAAGTGAAAAGCCTCTGAATTCTGACAAAACTTTTATTTATTTGAGAACTGTTGGGAAGTTAACAGGCCAGGAATATTTACTACATATTTTATTACTTGCTACCTTCCTTAGGATTTACTAGAAGTTTGTACAGAAGAGACTACAGTATTTTTAATTCTGTATATAACATCAGCATCAAATATGCACATATTACTTTGAAACCTTTTTAAAAAATAGTATTTAAACATAATGAATGTTACTAAGGATATACAATTTTATGCACTGATTAGAAATATAGTTTAAATTAAAAACTATGTTGAAATCTCAAGTGTTTAAAGATAATTTTTAAGCTTTAATAACAGTTTGATAAATAATACCAAAAGTTGTTTACAATAACTTTTCAGTGTGTAAAACACATGGGATTTTATTTTTTTCTGTCTAAATGCATATACTGAAACAAGTAATTGTAGACCTTTAACAATGTGAATTTTTTTTTAAAAAAGAGGTATAAAAATGAAAATGGGGGCCCTCCCTGGTGGTGCAGCAGGTTAAAGCACTGCACTGAGAAGCTTAAACCACTTCAGCATGAGTTCGATCCCCGCCTGCCCCGGAGGAGACCCACATGGCGTGGTAGACCTCTCCTGACCCGCCCGCTGCTCCCCTCAGCAGTGTACTTCGTCGATCTGCCTGTTCTGCTCCCCACTCTGTCCCTGGTGAATCCCCTCACCCTCTGCATCTCTGGCCTGTACCCCAGTTCTGTATGAATAAATAAATAAATCTTAAAAAAAAATGAAAATGGGAAACAAAAAAACACTGAAAGAACAGTAAAAACAAGTGTTGGTTCTTTGAAAAATTGATAAGCTATTAGTTATGCTTACAAAGAAAGAAAATTCAAATTAATAGAATCAGAAATGATTCTGCAGAAATAAGATAGGATCATAAGAACCTATTATAAAAGTCTTTGTGCAAATTGGACAATCTAGAGAAGTGGACAAAGTTTTAGACTCATAACCTCCCAAGATTGAACCAGGATGAAATAGCTTAAGTAGGCCAATCACAAGTGCTGAAATTGAAAGAGTAATAAAAATCCTCCCCACACACAAAAGCCCAGACCAGGTGACTTCACCAGTGAATTCTACCAAGCTTATAAAGATACACCTTTCTTATATACACATTTCAGAAAAAGTAAAGTGGGAGGAAATTTCCCCAATACATTGTATGAGCCCACTATTACCATTATCCTAGATAAAACAAAAACAGTACAAAAAAAATTATAGACCAGTTTCTCTGATGAGCATAGAAGAAAAAATTCTCAACAAAATCCTGGCAAACTAAGTATAGCAACATATCTAAAGAATCATCCACTCTAATCAAGTAGGATTCATTCCAAGGATGCAACACTCCTTCAACATATGTAAATCAAGCAATGTCATCCATCAGATCAACAAAAAGAAAGTAAAAGATTACTTGACATCTTAAATAGATGCCAAAAACGCATTTTACACAATCCAGTGATGGAAATAAGTGAAATCTGCCTAAATATTATAAAAAGCCTTATAACAAACCTATAGCTACTATCATATTTAATGGTAAAAGGCTGAAAGCATTTCCACAAAATCAGAAATAACACAGGGCTGTCCACTGTCATCACTATTATTCCAATAGTCCTGGAAGTTCTAGTTGAAGCAGTAAAGCAAGAAAAAGACATAAAGAGAATCCAAAGTGGAAAGAAGTAAAACTCACTATTCACAGATGATATGCTGATATGTCTAGAAAAACTAAAAGATCCTACAAAAAATAAATAAATAAAAACTAGAAATATTAATACAGTAAAGTGGCAGGATACAAAATCAACACACAAAAATCAGTGACATTTATACATATAAATGTATTAAAAGAAAGGGAAGGAATGCTGTACCATTTACAACTGAGCTAAAAAGAATGAAGTACATGAAAATAAATCTAGTGAAGGAGGTGAAGGACTTTTATAATGAAAATTATATATCTCCATAAAAGGAAATTAAAGAAGATGCAAAGAAATGAAACAATTCACCATGTTCATGGATAGGAAGAATTAACATTATTAAAACAACCATGTTACCCAAAGCAGTGTACAGATTTAGTAGAATACCTATGAAATGCCAAGGACTTGTGTGTGTGTGGAAATAAACTATTATCAAATTTATTTGGAACCAAAAAAGACCCAGAATAACTAAAACAGTCTTAAGAGTAAGGAAGAAAAATGGAGGTATTATACTTCCTGACTTAAAGCAATATTACATAGCAACAGTAATCCAAACTATAGTACTGAAGCAAGAAGAGAAACGTTAACCAATAGAACAGAATTGGAACTCCAAAAATAAATCCTTAGAAATATGGAGAACTACTCTTCTACAAGGTAAGACCACACAGTAGAGAAAATATAGTCCTTTTAATAAATGGTGCTGAGAAACATGGACGGTAACATGCAAAAAACTAAAACAGTACCTATATCACCACATGAATGAAAAGCCACTCAAAATGGTTAAATATTTGGACATAAGAACTGAAACCATAAAACAGTTGAAAGAAAATGTACTCTACAAACTACAGGACGCCTACCACAAAAACGTATTTGGCAATGCAATCCAAGCAACATGGGAAATTAAAGTAAAAAATAAACAAGTGGGACAATGTCAGACTTTAAATAAAGTTTTTGTTCCTTAAAAGAAACTATCTAAGAGGGCTCTCCCTGGTGGCACAGCAGGCTAAAGCACTGCACTTTAGCTAAAGCCACTTCAGCATGAGTTCGATCCCCGCCTGCCCCAGAGGTGATCCACATGGTGTGGCAGACCCCTCCTGACCCGTCCACTGCTCCCCTCAGCAGTGTACTTTATCTATCTGCCTGTTCTGCTCCCCGCTCTGTGTGTGGTGAATCCTCTCACCCTCCCTGAACCTCTGACCTATACCCAGTTCTGTATCCATAGATAAATAAATCTTTAAAAAAAAAAAAACCATCTAAGAAACAAAAAGGTAATCTATGAAGTGGAGTAAGATATTTGCATACCACTCATCTGATAAGGAGTTAATCTCCAGAATTTATCTAGTACGTACATAATCCAACAATAAAGAAACATCCAAACTAATTAAAAAATGGGCAAAGGACCTCAATAGACATTTTCTGAAGAGGATATTCGGTTGGCTTATATACATATGA